CTATTCCTATTCCTATTCCTATTCCTATTCCTATTCCTATTCCTATTCCTATTCTCTTGATCTCTTCTCTTCTCTTCTCTTCTCTTCTCTTCTCTTCTCTTCTCTTCTCTTCTCTTCTCTTCTCTTCTCTTCTCTTCTCTTCTCTTCTCTTCTCTTCTCTTCTCTTCTCTTCTCTTCTCTTCTCTTCTCTTCTCTTCTCTTCTCTTCTCTTCTCTTCTCTTCTCTTCTCTTCTCTTCTCTTCTCTTCTCTTCTCTTCTCTTCTCTTCTCTTCTCTTCTCTTCTCTTCTCTTCTCTTCTCTTCTCTTCTCTTCTCTTCTCTTCTCTTCTCTTCTCTTCTCTTCTCTTCTCTTCTCTTCTCTTCTCTTCTCTTCTCTTCTCTTCTCTTCTCTTCTCTTCTCTTCTCTTCTCTTCTCTTCTCTTCTCTTCTCTTCTCTTCTCTTCTCTTCTCTTCTCTTCTCTTCTCTTCTCTTCTCTTCTCTTCTCTTCTCTTCTCTTCTCTTCTCTTCTCTTCTCTTCTCTTCTCTTCTCTTCTCTTCTCTTCTCTTCTCTTCTCTTCTCTTCTCTTCTCTTCTCTTCTCTTCTCTTCTCTTCTCTTCTCTTCTCTTCTCTTCTCTTCTCTTCTCTTCTCTTCTCTGCTCTTCTCTCCTCTCCTCTCCTCTCCTCTCCTCTCCTCTCTCTCTTTTTTTTCCTCTGCTCAGTTCTTCTTTTCTCTGGCTTGCAGATGTTGTAGCTCATGGAAGAGGTGTGAAGACTGAATGACCAGAGGACATTCACAGTAGACCTGAGAGTCACTAATTTTGCCTTTATCTCTTGCCTTCCTCCAGGTGAGCACAAGAAAGAAAGGAGGAAGATGGAGCGACATCCCAACAACACGATCCATGACTGGCTCACAGCCTCCCCAACACCTATGGAGAGCACGGTCTACAGGGATGGACACAACGGGACCAGGTGCTTTGCAGAACACATCCCTGAAATCGTCACTGGTAGCATCACGCTGCTCATCTGCCTGTGTGGGCTGGTGGGGAATGGGGCCATTCTCTGGCTCCTTGGCTTCTGCATCAAGAGGAACCCCTTCAGCGCCTACCTCCTGAACCTGGCCGTGGCGGACACCTGCTTCCTCCTCTGCACATCAGCTTTCCTCCTCATATATCACATGCCCATGCTCACCTGCTTTCAGCCTGAGCTTCTGCGGGTGCTGCCACTCTTCCACTCCATGGTTCTTCTCACGTACAGCACCAGCCTCTACCTCCTCACAGCCATCGGTGTGGAGAGATGTGTGTGTGCCCTCTGGCCCTTCTGGTGCCGCTGCCACCGCCCGAAGCTCCTGTCAGCCATCATGTGCAGCCTGCTGTGGACCCTCGCCTGTGTGCTTGCCGGGCTGGTGTATTTTGTGTGTGACCTGGGTCACTCTGGACACTGCTGGATGGTTCTTGGGACCTTGTGCTTCCTCAATTTCTGCTTTTTCACTCCCCTTATGGTTGTTTCCAATGTCATCCTCTTCATCAAGCTTAGGCAGAGCTCTTGGCAACACCACCCAACGAGGCTGTATGCTGTCATCTTCCTCACTGTTTTCTTCTTCCTCCTCTTTGGCATCCCACTCAGTGTCCAGATCTTCCTCAACTTCTTTGTCTACATCAATTTTGTCTTTGAGATCTGCCTGTTACTGGCCTCTGTCAACAGCAGCATCAATCCGGTTATTTACGTCCTGGTTGGGAGCTATGGAAAGTCCAGGTTCAAGAGATCCATCAAAGTGGCTCTTCAGAGGGTCTTTGAAGATAGAGCAGATTCCCAAGAGGTGGGTGAGACCCCTGTGATAGGAATTGCTGCCTAAACCCCTATGGTTGCAGACTGGCACCTGGAAAGGGGCAGTCCTGCCTCTGCACCCTGGGACAGCACCCATGGGAGCAGAGCCCTTGCCTGGTTGGGTGAGTGTGACCAGGAGTTGATAGTTGTGTGTCCTCCCAAGACATATCCATGCTTGGTGAGATTTCCAGGAGCAGGGCTGGTTCTCACCTCAAAGTTATTTTTAAGTTATTTTAATAAAAGTGTCTTTCTTGTAACTTGCTGGTGGTGGCAGTTCCTTCCCTTGCTGGCTCTGTGGGTTGTCCTTGCTTGTTCTCAGAATTACCATTGTGATGGTCCCCTCATGCTGCCCACTGGTTTATAACTGAAATGATGTGGTCTAGAAAGTCCTGCATCATTTTTTTTTCCCCAGGATTAACATGACCACACTCCTGGGCCCCAATCTGTACCTTCTCTGCTTCCAAACATGGAGATGTCCTACCTCTTCCTGCCTCTTCTACCTTCCTACCTTCTTCTGAGATCTTGGTGCCTGATACTAAAGCACTGACTGCTCATTACCTTGATCCTCAAAAGCCCGCAGAGCAGCAAAGACAATGGTGAGGGACAGAAATGACATTTTCAGCTCCCTCTGGCTTGATGTCCTCCTGTGCCACAGGCTGATGGAGAAAATCCATCTTGGTCTGGCTGATGGAGCTGGCAGCATCAGTTGGTAGCCAAACCCTCACCGGGGAGGCAGGAAGGGACAGGCAAAGAGGCAAGAGCTGCTGGTGGTCAGCACTGTGCTGGGTTGGACAGAGGATGGACAGACAGACAGCTGGGGACTGATGGCTGTTGGAAAGTGCAATTCTGTGCCGGTGGGTGGAGAAGCCCATGGAGGAAACTTGGGCAGCCCCAAGAAAAGAGTCAGACATAGAGGATGGGAAGGGTCTCATAGATGGTGGCTTGAGGAGGTTGAGCTCTGCCTGCCAGGTGGTTTTGTGAGATTTCCTAACAAAAAGGAAACACAGAAACAACTGCTGCCCTCATGTTGACAGAACGTGGCTTCCACAAACCCAACCCAAACCCAAACGAATACCTGATGTCTGTAAATCTTGTGTTGGAAATGAAAATGAAGGTGCTCAAGATGTTGCCCAGGAAAGCAGAAGCTTAGACACCCTGGGCAACCCCTTTGCAGAGCAGATGAGGAGATCGGGCAGTGAGAGTTGTGTTGCATGGCATTATTCTGGTGCACCTTGATGCTTTCCTCATCATGACCTGTTGGCAGTGGAAAGGGTTGGCTTGGTGAGGGGATGTGTGATTCTGGAGTTGGGGACACAAACACAGCATCAGCGAGGGAGAGAAGAGGTGGTTTTGGTCCTGGGGTCCCCATATGTGCCAGTTCCCAGTAGGACCATCCCTTGTTCCCAGATGCAACAAGAGCTGTTTGTATTTGTCCTTCACCGCAGCCAGCCTAGGTAGGAATCATCTCACCTAACTTTATCACATGGTCCTGTCAGAGAAAACAACTGTAGGCTGGTGATTGACCACAAAGGGAGTATAGGAGACAACTCAGATGAAACCCTTAAATTTTAGATGGCCAAAGCCAACTCAGTAGCATTGATTCACCTCTCCTTAGGGAAAAAAAAAGACTTTCCTGAAATCCCAAGTCATCTCTCTGCTGTCCACCTGAGCTCTGGTATCTACACCAATCTTGTGATTCAGTTACCTCCTTGATGTCCACAGCGGCATGTTCTTGGAAACTGAATATATGAAGGTCAAGTGTCTCTGTGAAATTGGGGTGTACAAGTGGCAAACCTCGATCTGACTCAGAAATAGAAGTGTTGGAGCAACATCAAGTTTGTAGTGGAGGGTCCTAAAGATTCATCTCTGGAATGAGAGGAGGAAAGTTCAACCAGAGCAAAGATGTGAATATTTTTCACTCATAGAATCATAGAATGGTTTGGATTGGAAGGGACCTTAAAGCTCATCCAGTCCCAACCCCCCTGCCAGCAGCAGGGACACCTTCCACTAGACCAGGCTGCTCAAAGCCTCATCCAGCCTGGCCTTCAACACTTCCAGGGAGGGGGCACCTACAACTTCCTTGGGCAACCTGTTCCAGTGTCTGACCACCCTCACAGTGAAGAACTTCTTCCTAATATCTCATCTAGATATTTTTTGGATTGGGTTGCTTTAAAATAAAATGAAAGAGGAACCTGACACGGAGACAATCAGTATTTCCCATAGGTCTTGTTTTCTGAGAGTCTTTTTTTGTGAGTCATTTCCTGTACAAAGCCAAGAACAGATTATAACCAGAACCCTGACTCTGTGAAATGCCGTGAAATAGTTCCCTGTTTGCAAGAACCCTGGAGAACACAACCAGCTTGGCTAACACTGAGAAAAGTGGTTTATGAAAGGACCTGAGAACAACTCCACGCTGGACTCTGCACAGCTCACCAAGGCAGGCTTTGGTTCAGTTTTCCATGTGATAATTCCAGGAAGCCTCATCATGATCCCAACGTGGGGGCGGCAGCTGGCGAGTGCGAGGTGATGTGAGTCCGCAGTGCGTCTGCTCCAGTGAAGTTCTCCCGGTTGCGAGAGGAAAGAAGGTCAGACTTTTCTGGGTGGGTTTTTTTATTTCAGCCTCATCAGTGCCTCCCCTCATTGGTTTTGAACCTCTTGTCAATTTGTACCAGATCTGATGGGGCAACAGTTGTCTTTATGATGTTAAGACCTTTAAATGTTGTGGGAAAAGGTGGTAGGGGAACACCAAAATGAGTGTCCCACTGAAGGAACCCAGCAGCTTAGTAATATCAACAATAATATTAGACACCTGAGAATCCCTATCACATCCACCCCCAAACCCACTTGCTCTTTGACATCTCCAAGGACTTTTCATCCAGAACTTCTCCAATCTTTTCATCTTATTATTTCCCTCTTCCAGATCTGTCCTGTCCAAAGCCAGGAGGCATCTCCCTAACTTTTGCTCCACCTCTGTACATGCTCTTGTTCCAGGTGTTTCATACACATCTCCTCACATTCCATCTTCCATCTCTTCTGTCCTTCGTTTCACTCTCTGCTCCTCCACATGGAAGCTGGAGCATGGTTGCAAAGATCTGAAAAGCCTAGTGTGGAGGACAGTAGAGTTTCTGACATGTCTCTGTTTCCTCTTGTCCCTCCAGCTGTGTGAGGGGGAAGGAGAAGTAGCAGAAGTTTCCTAATGAGCACATTGTTCTCTGACGTGGGAAGAGCTGACCCTGCTTGCTGGAGCCAGCCTGGTGGGACAGTGGATAACAGGACTTGGCATCACAGGCTGCTGAGGCATGAGGACGATGACTACAACCAGACTGACTGTGAAGTTGATCACTCAAGCAAAGTCCCTGTCACGCTGCTCATCTGCCTCTGTGGGCTGGTGGGGAATGGGGCTGTTCTCTGGCTCCTCGGCTCCCACATCCGCAGGAACCCCGTCATCACCTACGTCCTCAACCTGGCTGTCGCCAACTTCACCTTCCTTCTCTCCATCACCATTGCCCTTGGGATACTTTACAGTCCAGAGAGCCTTTGTCACAGGCTGAGCTCATGGGACATGACAACTGTGTTGAACGTCACCATCCTCTTCACTTTCACCGCCAGCATCTTCCTCCTGACAGCCTTCAGTGTCGTGATGACTCTGTCCATCCTCCTCTCAGCCTGCTGCCCCTGCCACCACTCCTGGCACCTGCCAGTGCTCGTGTGTGCCCTGCTCTGGGTCCTCTCCTTCCTGCTCACCATCACCCTCTACCTCTGCCCTGCGATGCTCGTTGTCTTTGTCCTGAGCTACCTCCTAACCGTGCTTATCCTGATTTTTTCTGGTCTAACCCTGCTTTGCAAGGTCTTCTGCTGTTCAAGGCAATGTCCCCCAAGGAAGCTCTGTGTTGTAATCCTTCTAGCTGTCTTCTTCCCCTTCTTCACCGCTGATTTTGGTTACTGGCTCTTGCTACGACTGTTTGACTTCTCGGTTTTTGTCTTTGATGCCTCTCTCCTGCTCGCCTGTGTGAACAGCAGCATCAGCCCCGTCATTTACTTCTTGGCTGGGAGCTGTGCGAAGAAGTTCACACTTTCTCTTAGGGTTGCTTTCCAGAGGACTTTTGAAGATGGAACAGAGCTCCATAATAGAGGCAAAACTCCCAGAGAAAACACAGTGGAAACAGCTGTTTAAACCCTTGCAGCCCCTCCCTGAGAGAAGATGCTCAAGGGATGGAGATCATCCCAAAATGAAATACCCATCAAAATGTTTTGTTGTGAAACTTATGCTTCGAATCTGTCCTGTCCAACAGTTCTGAGCTTTTCTTGTCTCAAAAGTGAGCTCCTTCCACCCTGCTCACTATTAAAACAGAGCCACAGAGGCTCTTAGCTCCTGCCAGTGGGCTTGGTTTTCTTTTGGTGTGTCTGCTGAAGAACAGAGCACAGGTGGGTAAGAAAGCTTGTCACAGCAAGGTAGAACAATTGCTGGGCAAACCTTTGTGTGTGCATCTCAAGACCATAGAATCATAGTGGTTGGAAAAAACCTTTATCAAGTTCAACAATAAACCCAACACTACCAATTCCACCTCTAAACCATGTCCCTAAGCACCTCATTCTACCCAAGGTGATGATACGTGTGAAAAATATGTGGAGACTTCACAGTCAGCTTTGTAACCAGGCAAATCATCATGTGTTTGGGATTGTCCTTGGAAGGCTTTCCCTGAAATGTGTTGCTTCTGCTGCAAACTGAGTTCTGTCCACACATCATGTGAGTTGTCTGCATGCAAAGGGGGTTTTGACTGGAACTGCTTCTTGTGGTTCCTCCCACTTTTCTCCAGCATATCTGGATGGTCAGCTTGAGTAAATGCCATTTGGCAACCAGGACCTGAGCTCTGTGTCCATTTCTGGTGTGTTCGTTCTTCATTTAGGAAAAAATAACCCAAGAGGAGTAGGGTTGAAATGAAACAACCCCAAAAGCACAGCCCTGCCTGGAGAACCTGTAGAGACTGGATTTTCCATGGGAAAGAGGATACAGGGAGAGGGAAGGAAAACAATGGACTTCCTATGGAAAAGACCCTGTTGAGACCAGGAGGATTGACTACCTGTAGCCTGGCTCAGGCACTTGCTGGGTAAGAGGGATCATGGCAGTGTTTTCTCTGCTCCTCTTTCCCCTCCATGGCTGTCAGCCCTTGCTATGAAGGAGCTGGTGGGGGTCCAGCAGCTCTCATTTGCCTGTCAACTAAACCATCACCAAACCATTGCTTTGGGGCTGATTTCCTGGTGTGGCTCCCCACCAGGTTCCAGTAGGAGCACAAGGGAGAGGTTGGGAAGATGCAGCTGGCAGGGAGGGATGAAGGGAAAAAAGGGATCATCAGTGCAGACCCAGGAACTACTGATGGCTTCTGGGACCAAGGACGGTGACAGAAGTTTCTCTGTCCTTTGCTTGGTCCTTCAGTCCAGAGTTAGATGTCACCAGACAGGCTGGAATGGAAATCCATCACTTGGTGTAGTTATGGGTGCAGAACCATGATAACTAAACCCATAAAATTGTGGTGAAAACAAGAAGCTTAGAGAGGTGGTGGCCTGGGTGACTCTGCAGGCAAGGGAGATCATGGGAAGAAGGAAAAGCACATGGGAGGATTGTGGTCCTTCTGCACCTGCCTTGGGAGACACTCCTTGGATGATGTGAGCCCTTTCCTGGACAACAGGTTGTAACTCAGAAAGTTTTTACTTTCCATAGAATCCCAGACTGGGTTGGGTTGGAAGGGACCTTAAAGCTCATCCAGTCCCAACCCCCCTGCCAGCAGCAGGGACACCTTCCACTAGACCAAGTTGCTCAAAGCCTCATCCAACCTGGCCAAGATTTCCTTTCCAAAGGAAAGTGGGAGAGAGGGAGAAAAAAACCCTTCCCAACTATGGAAGAATCCCGCCCTGTTCTGTGAAACAACCCTGTTAATAAATGCTTCTTAGATGTTTAATCTCATCATGTGTCTTCAAAGCATGACTCACCACAGATGGGTAATACTTTAACTTCTCTTTCTAAAAGCAGTGTCACATTAGTTACCCTTGGATTTAAGGCAGCGGGAGAAGGATGGACAACTTCCCACTGTGTCAGAGAAATGGGTGGGTGAAAATAGACATTTGTGATTTGAATTCACTGGAGGCTTCTTCCAGTGAGAAACATCTCTGCTAACCACAAGCATCCCAAAGAGATGTCATCTGCTGCCCAGATTCCTCCCAGAATCAATGAGGTCTTGACACTGTCAACAGATGGCTCATCCCAGCTATTGCAGGCACCTGCCTTAGGATGAGGTTCATCATGCTCTGAAGGTACCTGTCCTGCTCATAGACAAGGGAGAAGCTTTAGAATGACAGGAAATAAGCCATTTTCTGACAGAGTTGAGTCAACCTTGCTCTGTTCACCAGTGACCAGCTGTGGAGTGAAGCCCAGTTGTTTATTCAACAAACTTTGGAGTCAGAGTTACCATGTTGGAAACAAAAAAGGTAGCTAGAAGAAGATCAATGCAATCAGGACCTTGGAGTGGACAGTTGGTCATTGAAACCACTGTGCACAGGAGCTGGTCACCTCCTCCTGAGGATGGTCAGGTTCAGGATAGAGGTGGTGAAGGGCTTCCTCTTGATGCTGAAGATGGGGAACCAAAGGATGGCCCTGCTCCCCAGCAGCCCACACAGGTGTGTTACTCTTAATATCTACAAAATTAAGTGGCCCATACATCTGGTTAGGTTAATTTCCATATTTTAGGTTATTTTGGTGATGGACACAGAGGTGTGTTCAGTGGAGTGATGGTGAAATCTTTGCTGTGAGCAAAGGCAATGCAGGAATTGGTGTCTCTGACTTGCCAAGATCATCTGATCTGGTAATTCCCAACCTTGCTTCACAGCATGGCTTGGAGCTGTGTTTGGGGAGTGTTTGGTGAGCTGTGCCAGAGCAGGTTCCCATCTCAGCCTCTGCAGCTGACATTTGCTCACTGTGCTTCTCTCTGGCATCAGAGAGATGATCTTTGGCATCAGACCTCCTGAGTTGGGCTGTGTTATCTCACCCTTCACCTTGAAATATTCCCTTTCAAAAATCAGTGTCTTTTCTGGAGATACAGCTTCCTCCATCTCCCTTTCCAAGTTTGGAGGACAGGGTATCATAACTTTGACAGAACTAAGGCAAAAGAGTCTGAAGCCTCCTTTGAGATGCTTTTGTTCTTGTGGACAAAACTTTTGTGGAGATATTGGTTGCCCAAGGAAGCTGTGGATGCCCCCTCCCTGGAAGTGTTCTCGGCCAGGTTGGATGAGGTTTTGAGCAACCTGGTCTACTGGAAGGTGTCCCTGCTGCTGGCAGGGGGATTGGGACTGGATGAGCTTTAAGGTCCCTTCCAACCCAAACCATTCTATGATTCTATGATATTGAGAAGTAAAACATGTCTTAAAAACCTCTCTTGGTTTTCCTGTAGGGACTGATGGGAGCAGGGCTGGAGGAGATTCCCTGCTCCCTCATAGGGACACTTATTGTGTTGTCCAGTCCCTGAGAGACTCCAGCAAGGAGGTGACAACCTCCAGGATGTGATGTCTCATCATCCAGCCATAGTGTGTCACAACAAGTGGTGTTTCCCTGGAGCACAGTTGGAAAGCAGCACCTTGTGTGAACTCCTTGGCATGAACACGAGTTCTGGGAAGGTGCCACTAGGACACTATGGAACCTGTACTTTTCTCAGACCGATTTAACCCTGGAATTAAACAGCGTGACAAATGTCCACTTGAGGTACAAGAGAATGTTCTTGTTTCTTCCCCAGCTCTGCAGCCCGACCTGGTGTTGGTTTGTCTCTCTTTCCATCAGCTGGGAATGCAGGGCCGGCTCTGCAGAGCAGCTCTTCAGACAGAAGAAGGATGCTCCATGCCATCCATACCCCTCTCCTGCCATCTAGAGGCATCAGCCCTGCAGATATCTGTGCAGTCACCGCTGGCCCTGGGCTGGATGTACCCTCCAAGCCTGGGATGTGGGTGGGCAATGGGGTTTGGGGCTCCCACTCCTGCCTGGGGGGGTCCATGCAGCCCCAGAGGAGGCAGAGGGGTTCAGCTGGGCTGGGAGGTGGGTTTTGGTGAGGATGAATTGCCAGCTAGCCACTCTTCACAGGGGTAACCTACTTGGCTTCCAGGAGCAAGTGGCTGTCCCAGGAGCCCTCACTCTCCAATTCCCATTGGGGCTGCAGTAGATGTAAGGAATGGCCAACTCTGCCATTGCAACATCTCCATGAACCAGGGTCTGGAGGGGGCTGCACTGGCCCATGGACAAGCTACACGGCTGCTTCCCATGGCAGTGGTTGCCTCTACTCTTTGCTCAGCCTTTCACTTCAGCATGGGTGCAGTGGTGATGGTGAGATGCCCACATGACCCCCTTGGCTTGCCCATTTTTGCAATCCTTTCCAAAGAGCCTTGTCTCGCTTGAATAACAGATGTGTCCAGAGCTCCCAAAGGACCTAACGTGTCTGGGGGACACTGAACTGGGTTGTATGTCCTGGAGAAAAGGAGGCTGAGGGGAGACCTTGTGGCTCTCTCCAACTCCCTGAAAGGAGGGTGGAGAGAGGTGGGGGTGGGTCTGTTCAACCAAGGCCCAAGGGACAGGACAAGAGGAAATGGGCTCCAGTTGTGGCCAGGGCAGTTGAGATGGGATGTGAGGAAGAATTTCTTTGCTGCAAGGGTTCTGAGGCATTGGAAGGGGTTGCCCAGGGCAGTGGTGGAGTCCCCATCCCTGGAGGGATTGAAGAGTCGTGTAGACACAGTGCTGAGGGACATGGGTTAGTCATAGGGGACTGGTCAGTGTTGGGTTCATGGTTGGACTCGATGAGCTTCAAGGGCTTTTCCAATTGAGACCATTCTGGGATTCTGGGTTTCTATATCAGACTTTCCCCAGAAAAAAGACCCCCCCAAAACACCACAAAACTCATCTGCTGAGCCAAAGGAGGAAGAGTTTATTCTCTGGGGCCAGAGCAATGAGGGTCACTGCTGTGGGGAATCCAGCCCTGGGCACAGGGACCGAGCCCGGCTGAGCAGCGCTGTGCTGGGTCTGTGTACCAGCCCCCACGTCTCCATCCCTGTCTGCGAGGTGCCACATCTCCAGGTCTCCTCATCAGCAGTGCCTTATAGAGTGGTCTCCACCTCAGGATCCCCAGGCACGTGGCTTTCCTCCTTGGTCATCACTTTCTCTTCAAAGACTCGGTGGAGAGCGGCTTTTGCAGAGAACTTGAACCGGCGTTTTTGGCAGCTCCCCACCAGAAAGTAAATGAACGGGTTGATGCTGCTGTTCAGCGAGGCCAGCAGGTAAGAGAGATGAACAAAAAGCAGATTTAAATAGAGAGGATCAAGGAAAACCACCACAGTGAGAGGAAACCCAAAGATGAACAAGAAGATCACGCTGAGCAGGATGGCAACGTAGAGTTTCCCCGGGTGTCGTTTCTGTGAGCCGCGTTGGAGTTTGATGAACAGGGAAAGGTTGGAAAGGAGTGGGAATAAAGTGAAAATGAGAAAATTGATGATGCTGAGAGCTTGGAACACTTGTTTACAGCTTATATGAAAAGAGAAGTAACAGCTCAAGAAAACCAAAGCAATATAAAGTCCAGCAAGAGCCCAGAGAACCCCACACATGATGCCTGACAAGTGCGTTGGGCGGTGACACCGGTACCAGATTGGGAATAAAACAGAGAGACACCTCTCCATGCTCATTGCTGTCAGGAGATACATGCTGGCAAAATACCAAAACAGAACCAGATCCATCAGGATGTACTTGGTGAAGGTATGATTAAACGAGAAATGACAGGGGACAATTGAATTGACGTATAATGTCAGTATAACAAGAAGGAAGAGGAGCAGAGAGAAGTCAGCGATGGCCAGGTTCAGGACGTAGACAGTGAAGGGGGTTTTCTTCACGTGGAAGCCCAGGAACCACAGGACTATCCCATTCCCCACGAGTCCACAGACAGAAATCCCCATACAGACACCTGAAATCATCAATATACTGAAGTTGTGTGCTCTGCACAGAGATTGATTGACTGCCTGAGAGTCTGCGGAGCCAGAATTCAGGTAGTTCAGGGAGAGGTTTGTTGTGTTGATCTCCTCCATGGCAAATGACCCTGCTCTGGGTGGTCGCCTTCTCCCTCTCCCACCACCTCCTAGGAGAGACAAGGAAATGAGGGACATTGGTGTTCCCAGCACTCACCATCTTTCCTCCAGGGAGGATCCCATCCCCTGCTGTGCCCAAGAACAGGCTCCCACCCCTCCAGCACTGCCCCTGGCCAGGAGGTATCTCCACCTGCCCGTCCCCAGTATCCTACCTCCTGGTGCTGCTGCAGGACCTCCAGCACACCTGGCCTCCAGGCTCACCAGGAGAAAGAGGGTGGTGATGACTGCCAGGACCACCCCGCTTTGGCCTCGTCCCTCGTGCCTGAGGAGCAGATGTTTGCCCAGAGATCACGTCCTGTGGTCAGGAGACTCCCCTCACAATCTCATCACATCAATGACAGCTTCCCCTCACGTGTCCCATGGATGGCAATCTTGTCAGAAAGAGTTGTCCACGTCACCCTCTTCCTCTCCTCCTGCCATCCTCCATCTTTCTCCCACCATGCGAGGGGCTTCCATCTTTCACTGTGTGTGGTGGTCCAAGACTTCCAACCCCATCTCATGGATGGACCTTGAGCCTATGCTCTAGCACTGTTTTGAGTCTGTCTCTGGCTCCAACTCCTGCAGGTCCAGGTTGGACCTCCTGGAAAGACTGTGGACCTTGTTCATTACTGTGCATTCATCACATGAAGTCAAAGGACACCCTTGGAGGACATCAGTCTTGGGGATGACAAGCACAGGCAATCACTCCCAAGAAGAGGTATCCAAAGGATGGAAAACACATGAAAGAGGGAGAGAAAATAAGCCATGAAAATGCCAGTCCCTGTGATGCTGAAGGACGAGCTTGTGTGACAGGAACCACTTGTAGATAAAAGCACGTTTGCAGCACCATGTACCCCACAGAATGTAATCTCAGAGGAGACACACGCGTGGCAGGGGTGTGATTAGAGGCAGTGGCCAAAGCCCTCGTGCTGTTCTCTATCTGAATACTGGGGATTTTGCACGGCAAGTTGAGACACGGCCAGTGCTCTGCCTCATGGGCTGCTGCTGAGGGGACTCTGTTGACATCCCAGGTGCAGGGAGTGAGTGTATGATGAGGCCTGGTGGGGCAGGGGAAGGGATGGGCATGACCAGAAGTGGTTCTGCATCTGAGGAATGATGGGAAGAAGAAGGATTATGAGGGTTATGGGACTGTCCAAGGAGCTTCTGCTGGTTCATCCTCATGGTTGATGGTCCCTGGCTCATCTCACTCATTCTCATCTTTCTGCCTTCCTCTTGCCCTGCCAAATCTCTTCCTCACCATCCCCTTGGTCATGCAGGCTGTAAGGATAGCGAAGGCACGGAAGAGAGCTAGAGGAAGTCTTCCACCACTAGCTTTGCACAGCAACACTCAGGAGACCCCAGTATGGTGAGCTGAAGCTGGAGGATGGGCTGTAGAGATCCTGACCAGAAGACCATTATACATCTGGGAGTTAGTCATCCACAAAACACTCAACCTGAGTAGTCCCAGGCCTGTGCTGTGCCGTGCTGAGCTGGGTCATGATGTGCAGCTCCCTTGGTCATCAGATAAACCTGGTTGGTTGATGGTAAGAGAGGATCCTGCAGGCAGCTCCCACTGGGTGCTGGTGATGCCACCACCTGCATGTTCTTGCCTTTATCTAAGGCTGCTGCAATGGTTCTCATGTGAATGTAGAATGAGTTGTTTTCTTACCTAAGAAAATCCTGTAATAGCTCAAACCACCAGAGTGGAGTAACCTTTCCATGGACAGGATCTGCCCTGATCAGAGGTTTATTTGATGCTGCAAGACCTGGAGTTCCTGACACCTGATGGGACACAAGATTATCTGCACCATCCTCTCCTTCTTCATAGTTTTAGCTCTAAGAAATGGCATTTGAAATGGTACTTTACAGAGTCTGAGCACCTTTCTTAATGGGATCTTAACAGATCAGCACCTCCTGGTGAAAAACTGGGGGGGAGGAGAGGAAGGGGTGACGTGGCCAACTCCTACTGACAAGATCGCCGTCCATGGGACATGTGAGGGGAAGCTGTCACTGATGTGATGAGATTGTGAGGGGAGTCTCCTGACCATGGGATGTGATCTCTGGGCAAACATCGGGGTGGCCCCAGCAGTCATTGCCACCCTCTTTCTCCTAGAGAGCCTGGAGGCCCTGTGTGCTAGAAGTCTTGCAGCAGCACTGTTCCCAGGAGCACCAGGAGGTAGGATGCTGGGGACGGGCAAGTGGAGATACCTCCTGGCCAGGGACAGTGCTGGAGGGGTGGGAGCCTGTTCTTGGGCACAGCAGGGGATGGGGTCCTCCCTGGAGGAGCCTGGGGCTGGTGTGGGGCTGTGGGGAAAGATGGTGAGTGCTGGGAACACCAATGTCCCTCATTTCCTTCTCCTTCCTCATCTCTCCTAGGAGGTGGTGGGAGAGGGAGAAGGTGGCCACCCAGAACAGGGTCATTTGCCATGGAAGAGACCAACACAACAAACCTCTCTCTGAACTACATCCCTTCTGGATATCTGGACTATGGGGAAAATATCACATTTGAATGCACAAGGCTACCTTATGGACTGATGGTCTTTGCAGGTGTCTGTATGGGGATTTCTGTCTGTGGACTCGTGGGGAATGGGATAGTCCTGTGGTTCCTGGGCTTCCACATGAAGCAGAACCCTTTCACCGTCTACATCCTAAATGTAGCTGTTGCTGACTTCTTTCTGCTCCTCCTGTTTTCCCTGCTCGTGTTGGCAGTTCTGATCTCCACAACGATTTGTCCTCATTCGGTTGATTTGATTTTTTTCTACATAGATTTTGTAACTGTAGTTGAGTTTTTGTGCCACTTCTTTGACCTTAGCAGCTTGAGTCTCCTGACAGCGATCAGCGTGGAGCGGTGTATGTCTGTCCTCTTCCCCATCTGGTATCGCTGCCAGCGCCCAAAGCACTTATCAGGCATTGTCAGCGGGGCGCTCTGGGCTTTCGCTGGGGTTTTTGTTTCCTCCATGTATCTCAGCTTCAGCTTTGCTGAAGGCTACGAGACAGTAATTGCAGGTGTAGCCATTGCCATTGCCATGGCTTTGTCATCAATGATGTTGATTTCCAACCTATCCCTCTACATCAAACTTCGATGTGGTTCACACCGACGTCGCCTGGGGAAACTCTATGTTGCTGTCCTCCTCAACGTGATCTTCTTCTTTGCCTTCGGTATTCCTTTCAGTCTAGAGGTTTTCTTCAATTTTCCAAGTTCACATGAATTACTTCCTGAGATTACATCTTTTCTGCTGGCGATGGTGAACTGCAGCATGAATCCAGTCATTTATTTCCTGGTGGGGAGTTGCCGGCAGCGCCGGTTCCAAGGCTCCGTGAAAGTTGCCTTCCGTCAAGTGTTTGAAGAGAAAGCTGGGAGTGAGGGGGAGAGCCACGTGCCTGAGGACACTGCAGTGGAGACCACTGTATAAGACTGCTGGTGAGAAGGTCTGGAGATGCAGAGCCTTGCCAGGCAACCTGGGGGATGGAGGTCCCCATGCACTTGGTACCCGCTTGCTGCCAGAGAGGAGAACAATGCTGCAGCTCAGCATGGAGACAGATCACCTCTTCTACTCTTCTTTGTGCCTGATCCCAAGTCACTCTGTGGGTTGTAAGGCACCATTTGACTATGAGCTGGTGCAACACCTAAATAGGGCAGAAGATAGCTGTCTAGAGGTGCTTGCCCCTCCTTCTGTCCCCCATTAGCTGACCCTGACTCTCCTCTCCCAAAGAGGACATAGCCTTCTCTTACTATCTGCTGCCCCTTCCTTCCTGTGACATGAGGCCACATCTCCATGAAAGGAGCACGAGAAGGAATTTGGCAGTTGATGCTGGGAAGGGTTGGAAGGGGAAGGCTGCTCCTGTGAGGTAGGGTGGGGTGAGAGAGAGAAGTGGGCTGGTTGTTGTAGAAGCTCTTGGAAGGGAGAATGGAGTAGGTGCTTGAAGGGGAGGTTGGGGATAACTACTGGGGGACAGAGGCTTGGGAAAGGGAATCAAATCAAGGCACTGGAGGGTCTTTCATCTCCTGCATGTGGTGCAAACTGGACTATTCTGAAGCGTCCATGTGCCCACAGACATCCCTTCCTCCAGGCCTTAACAGCACCACAGAAATACCAGCAGTGATGTGTGTGTCTTCTACTGAAATCAATGAGAAAATAAAGATTATTTCAGATTCTGGTGTCCAGGGACTCCTCAGAGGAATGGAGTGAGGTTTGGTGTCCTTGGGGAACAGATGACACCATCCCTCGCAGGCACCACATGCAGCTGGCACATGGACCACATTGAGGAGCACACTCAACACTTATGGTCAGGGCTGCCCCTTTCCTTTCAGCTGTCCCCAGGGAAGCAGAAATGTGGGCTTTTTCCAGGGTACTGGTGGCCCCTGAGGAATGTACCCTTCTCATGCATGACCGTTGATCTTCTGGATGCCCTGTTATCATCCTTCCAGAGAGACACCAAGCAATTCAGAGGACAAACTTAATTCAGATGCTGAGGACATTCTCCCTGGTGGGCTGAGATGACCATGCTGGTGTTAGTTCCAGGTGGAGAAGCCTGCAAATGGTCACCATCTCCTTGCAGGTCCTATCCCGGACTTCTTTTGGACCACAGGAGACAGTTACACTGCAAATATCTGGCAGATGCCACTCCTGAGAATGCTTGTCCTTTACCATGGGTGATTGAAGGTGTCTGTGATGATGGTTTATACACTGGCATCACTTTTTAAATGTCCAAAGTTGGATGTAAATTGTTCACATCAATGTCATGTGTAAAACGTGTTGACATTAAACGCCACGTGTCTTCATGATGGGGACGTTTAAGGACAAACTGTCAAGATGGAAAGTTTTTCACAGTTTATATTCTGTTTGTTGTTATCAGTTGGTGGCTTCTTCTAAGCACAATCATGTTTTTAAATACAATTTGTTTTCCTTTTAAAAAAAAAGGGGGGCTTTTGACACTTTTAATAATAACAGAAACGTTTCGGTTCTCCCAGTGATAAAATAATTACAGATATTAAAAGGCAAACATTTTTAACATATTTTCTGATAAATGGACGCTCTCTTGCCTTCAGCAGCAGAAGTCAGAAGATAAAGAACTTTACTTAAAAATAATTGATGGCATAGACCTCATCTGAATCAACTATATGTATCTTTGTAGAACAAGAGCATTAAAAATTAAAGAACAGTAGAAATGGAACTCAAATTTCAGCTTTCAGGAACTGTAAACAGGAAGCAAAAAGCAACTACAGACATTAGAGTGACCCACTATTTTTTTTAAGTGGTGCTTTTTTGAAATTAATAAAAAAAAGGCAAGTGAAGAGAAAAAAGATCATAAACAGTAGAAGAATGCAGGTTCCCTTTAGGAAAATAGTTGCAGTTTAAGGTAAGAGGAGGAAATCTGTAAGATTCCTCAAAGAATATTACCTGTGTAGTCTTTTTTCTATCAATTTAGCTTAAAAGAGTAAATGTTATGTAGTCTGATAGTACAACACCTCAAATAATCACATTTTGCATCTCAAGGGATTTGATCTAGAGAATAATTGGTTGCCAATCGTGGTATTTATTTATTTATCCTTCTTCTGTTTTCCTGTTTTTTTCCCCTATCCCTGAATGTATTTCTGTTGGTACAGGAGATACTAGAAGCCATGGGTTGTTATGTGTCCTCCTTAAAGGACATGTTGTAGTGAGATGCAGATACTTTGTCCTGGGTTACAGGAAATTAAAATAATAAGCAATTCCAGCCCTTTATTTCTTTGAAAAACAAGAAAAAGGAGAATATAACTCAGTGCATAAAGTTGTAAGGCAGGTTGGGAGGAGCTGGAGCCCTTTTCTACTACATCGTAACTCTACGGTGTGGAAATCTCCCTAGTTCATGGAAGAAAGGGAATTCCAGGGTGTGAAGCATTTCACTATTCCAAATGCTCACATTAGGAAGCAAAGAATCACGTGCTCTGTGAGCCACACAAGGTTGCATGTGTTGCTGAGATACAGGTATTTAAAATGAAGTGAGATAGATAGACTCTCCTTCCTGGAATTTCATGGCTGATTTCATCAGGAGGAGGATTGGTTCCCATCTCATCTTCAGAGATCTGAGTAAAAAGTGATTGAGACTTAATGAATTTGATATTGTTGTGCTGTCACAGACAGAGATTTATTGAGTGAGCTGCAAATTCTGAGGGGGATTCCTTTGATAAAATGCAGACACCAAGACATTTCACCTTATCAAATTGAAATCATTTAATGGCCACTGAAAAGAAACAGGCACTTTCAATGTGGTCCTAATACAGGTCAGATAAATTGTGTGGTCCAGGTGTTTATGTGCTTTCACTGACCACAGATGGTGCTTAAAATAACTAGCCAAAGGGTAGAGCTCTACAATGAAGATACTGAAGGTTAAGTGAGATAAACCTTCCCCAATACCTCTGAGTTCTTCAATTCTGTAAACTATTGGCCCTCAGCTCCAGACCAGAGTTCCTGTGTTAGGCACAGCAGAGTATTAGGAGGACATAGTCATTGTGTCACGGGTTTCCCGTTCATCTTTGTCATCTGCTGAATCTTCAAAAGCCCTCTGGAATGCCAGCCTGAGGGTGAACTTAATTCTCCGATCCCTGTAGCTCCCCACAAGGAAGTAAATGACAGGGTTGAGACTGCTATTCACGCAGGACAGCACAAAGCCAATCTCCGGGGAGTAGAGAAATTTGTAGCCCAAGAAGTCAAAGAGGATCAGGACACTCAGAGGCACAGCAAAAATGAGGAAGAAGAGGACGGTGAGCATGATGACGGTGAAGAGCCTGCCTGTTCGGAGGTGTTGGGAGCTGCATTTGACTCTAAGGAAGAGGGTCAGGCTGAAGAGCAGCATGAGGGGTGTGCAGAAGAGGAAGTCCAAGGCTCCAATGGTGATGAGCACCAGCTGGCAGCTCCTGGCAGAGGGGCGAAGGGTACACAAAACATAGCCAAGTGTGTTCAGCAGCAGGGAGATAGTCCAGAGCAGGCCGGAGATGATGCCAGACAAGGGCTTTGGGCGGTGGCTTCGGCACCAGATTGGACAAAGGACAGACAAGCACCTCTCAATGCTGATGGCAGTCAGAAGATACAAGCCGGTCCCATACATGAAAAGATCCAGGAAGAGGAATATCCCAAACTGCACCCCTACGTTGAACTGCATCAGGTACTGAACCGTCTCGATGGCAATGCAGAGGAGATACCCAAAGTCGGCAGCAGCCAGGTTCAGGATGTAGACAGTGAAGTGGTTCCTCCGGATGCGGAAGCCAAGGTACCATAGGACCATGCCATTCCCCACCATCCCACAGACAGCACTGATGAGGCAGAAGCTCTCCATGAATTTGAGGACAGCATATGATGCCTCTGTCTTTCCAACATCCCCGCTCTGATTAGTCCCATGAGCCTGGCTGGTTGTGGTTGGAAGGAAGGTTGATGTAGTTGAAGTATTCATAACGAGTGATTTCAGACAGACCTGTAAGCAGAGAGAAGAGAGGTGGTAACTCCAATGTGACTTTCCCTCATGGTGACCTGGTGGCATTTCTGGATTTCAGATATATTTCAGAAATTTCCAGCTCTTCGTAGCCAGAACTTGATTTAGAGAGGGATGGTTGTGTTTGAACTTAGAGCACAGAGCGTTGTTCAAAGCACTGAGGACAAATCCTATATGACATGTAGGAAAAGTTAGATTGCAGTGAATTTCTCCCCTTTAAAAATTCATTTCTTGAGGGTCCTTTTTGCAGCCAGTATTGGGAAATAAATGTCTTTAAAAAGCACCAGAAAAGCTCAGATTAATCATGTCTGTGAAGTACCTCTTTTTCTCGTGTGAATAAAAAGAGAACCCAGCGTTGAGAACTCTGGGATCATTGTCTTTGCTTCATGGAGCTGGGATTAGGTGAGACAAATCTTGTCAAAAGTTTGTGAAGTTCTAGGCAATCAGCACAGAATTCTAATCAGCATGAAAGCTGGTTGAGTTCTGTCCTGTACATATGTCCAGAAACCATGGTAGAGAGTATTCCAACTAGCTGGTAGATTTTTATGTTGATGACTGATTTTCAGATGGATGGAGTCAGCCCTTAATAACTTCCTTCTCAGGGAGAAACTGTAAGAACCATATGTGGGACAAAATGTCTGATCTTCACATTGGAATTATGGCTTAAATAATTATTTCACCCCATTCCCTGAGGCAGTTCTCCCTGCTTCTTCCCCCGTGATACTGGGATCTGAATGACAATCTTGGGGGGAAAAAAATAGTGAAAAAAGAGATTTCACAGCTTTTGTTTTGTCTGATGAGGTGAAACTGTGACTTTTTTTTCCTCTCTCCCCACCAGCTATTAATTTTGCCATGGGAAGGTAGAGAAGTATCCTGAAAGACAGCAGGAGACAGTTGAAAAGGAAAGAGGAACAAGTCACAAAGGGGAGAGCTAGGAAGATGT